GAGCAAGATTTAAAAATTATTATTTATATTAAAACATCATTTGAATCTAATTTAATTATTTTTATTCTATTTTCTTAATCAATATTTTAATTGATTATAAATCTTTGTAGCCTTGTAGTCAATTAGATTTTTTTAAAATACTACTTTATATATATATATAAACTTGAAGAGCAGTATTTCGAGCCAAAACGAGCCGAACACGAACGAACACATCTTAGTTCGTGTTCGGCTCCTTAACGAACGAAATTAACGAGCCGAACACGAGCTTTTTAACGAACCGAACACGAGCTGTTCGCGAACAACGAGTCGTTTTGACAGCTCTAGTTGTAGTTAACAATGACTTTTTCTTGATACATGCTATTGGAATGGAAAGATTTTATTACAGCTAAATTGATTCTAGCTGTTGTCGCAATAGATTGTCTCGGTTTCCATCATTTTATTTGATGCTGAATTTTCAAGCTCTTTTTCACTTCAACGCCTTTCACTAAAGTTTATAGTTTTGGTCATGTCTTCTTTGTGTTGGTTTCATTTTATTTTTTAGTTGTTGATTATTTGTTTTAATTTGCTTGTTTAAGATTTACATACAGACCACTCAACCCTTTTGAATTTATACATCTAGCACCTAAACTTTATTTCTTACATATATATGCCAACTCATGCATAAGAAGGTGTGTTTCACCTTTAAAAGTTATGCCAACTCATGCATAAGAAGGTGTGTTTCACCTTTAAGAGTTAAAATGCTGTATTTTTTAATGTGATAAGAAGGATTTGGGTGGCATAAATGTTATAAAAAAAAAACTAGGTACTTGATTTGTAAATACATAAGAAGTGGGAAGGGTGTATTCAGTTTGAGTTGCACATAGATGATTTCAACTCAACACACTCCTAAAGGAAACAATATTACATACGGGTTAACTACACCAGCTGGCTCAATTTGAGTTTAAATTTAAGTTCAAATTGAATAAATTTACTAAACTTTTGATTTATATTTCTATTAATTTGATTTGAGTTGAATTTAGGGGGCTATAGGTGAGTTTTACCCAAACATCCTTCTTACTGTGTCATATGGTTAATTATAACAACTCACCAATTTTGAGTCCAATTATGAATTTTGATTTTGGTAGCCAAAACAAGCCTTTTGGGACACTTGGCTAAGCTCAATTCATTTAATTTGTTTTATTTTGTTTGAATTTCAAAAGGCGCCCTTGGGTATTCTACTATCTTGCCCACAATTTTAAAGTTTGAATTCTACTCAAGTATGTTTCTCAATAACATATAAATTAATTTAGTGCGTTAGAACCAAATGCTTGAGTAATGGGGTTAAATTGATGTAGTGGATCTCATAGGGTAACTAAGGGTCTGTTTGGGGCACTGCAGTTTATTGAATAATTTGTTGATAAGCTGATTAAAAATAATCTGCTGATAAGCTAGGTGCGGTGACTATAAAAAATTTTTATTTTTATGGAAAAATCAGACCGCTGCCAAAAAGCTGCCACCGCACCTAGATAGATACGGTGTGAAAACTCTGTTTTCAGCGTTTTCAAAAAGCATAAGCTGTCAAAACACAGTTTACCCAAACAGTCCAGGTGCGTTTTCAAAACGCCACTGCACCAAATAAGCTGCCTAAAACGGGCCCTAAGTGTTGATTTGGTTTACTGTTTGGTTCTTAGTGACCTAAATGTGGTCTGCTTGACTTCACTCTAGGTGGTCAATGACTAATATTAAGTTCATTTCAAATCGAGAGAGAACAGATGATATTGGGTTCGAATTTATTGCTTTGTGTAGTGTTCACCTAGCCACTAAGAAAATATATTAAGGACCTAACTAAAGAGCTCCTATAATAAGACTGAATCTTAGGCTCTAAGGAAGGCGAGGCAGTTGATTTTATTTCAGGCAAGAGGTAAAAAGAACAACTCATTGAATGAAAGGGATACAATCAAGCCAAGAAAGTCATGATGTCAATATCAGCATGTTGAAACAAACCTTGAAGAATATGATGTAGATTATTAAAAAAGTGCAAAACATTGCATGGGAATTTGCTGGAGATAGAAAGTAGTGTGATGTTAAAAGTATCACAAAGGTATGGAAACATATTAATCTCATTATATACACCGTTATTAAGGATTTGATGAATGAAGATGAGCCAAAATCTTATAAAGAAGCCACCAATGTTATTGAAAATTATGTCATTGAGGAAAACAATACGTAGGCATAGACAAAGCACTCGAAACACCAAAAGATGATAAGTAACTAGCGGTTCTGTGAGAAGAAAGAAAAATAAAAAGGGATGAGATTCAAATAAAAAATAGTTGTAATGGGCTTCCAAGAAAATTGTGGTCTACCCAAGATACAGGAATATCTTACCAATTATGAGACTCATTCATTAGGAACTTTCCTACCATGATTCTTGAATTTAGCATTGAGCTAGAACAAGTAGAAGCTTACAAGAAATAAAATACAAGAATTAACTTGATGGTCACATTGAAGTGTTAAGAGTAGTTCATGTAAATCTTAATCTTAACAATTTGACATGTATAATTATTTCTTAGATTTTTTTTTTTTTTGGTAAGATGGTTGTGAATCCTTGGATGTTTCACAGTTAGACTATAATATGATATCAATCAATAAGATTACTCAAGATATGAAATGTCCATATAAATTCTTTATGAACTCTTATGAATTTCAGGTGGTGGAATCGAGAAAAATACTTGACAGTATTAAAATGCATAAACGTTTGTAGCTGCTCATAAAAAATTTCTGCCTAAACACAAATGAACACATCCCTATATTTACCTCAATTTTCTAAGTATGTTTAGTCTATATCTATCGAAAAACAGATCGTGTTATGACATTATTGTTTGGGTCATCTTAAATTCAATTTCATTGCTTAAGTCGTATCATCATTTATTTATCAATAAAAAAACCATTGTGAGAGATTCGTCAATTCGTCAAACACACTCGAAATAATAATCTCATCATTCAAGGTAAACCCACATTCTTTTTTCAGTATACACAACGATATTTATAGATCTTCAAAGATGAAAACTTTGTGGAATTAGATGGGTTGTGTCATTTATTGACGACCATAGTAGGACTACTTGGACATTCTGCTGAAGGAAAAATCCAATACAACTCAAATATTTCAAACATTTCATGACAATTCAAACTCACTTCTACTGTATAATTTAAATTTTCAAATTAAAAAAATTGAAAAAAAATATTTCAACCCTATCCTTAGCAATATCTTAAGTAAAAAAAAAATGAAATTGTCCATCATCCATGTTAGTTCATATTTTGATAACCCACAACAATATGGGATAGCTGAGAGAAAGTACAATCATTTCCTTGAAATATCCCGCTCAATTATGATTTCATCAAGCTCCAAAATATTTTTAATAGTAAACAATTTTTATTGCAACATACCTCAAATCAAATTCCAGTCAAGTTTGTAACTTTAAAACACCATTTTATTCACAAAAAAATTACGAAAAAAAAAAAAAAAAAAATTTTAATACACCAAATTCCAACCTAAACCCTAAACCCAAAAAAAAATAAAATTAAATATTAGCAACGAGAAACACATAACAAGCACTGATAGCCCCTAAAATCAAAAACAAAAATTTAGCAAAGTCATCAAATTTAGCAAAGTCTAAATTCATCAAAACTAATATATAAAAATATATATATGTAACTTTACTCTCCCAATATCTACAACCAAATAGTCCCCCCCTCCTTTTGATACAATGAATATAATTTATACACCTATAACGAAAAATTAGAATTATCTAATGTTTAGATAATTTTAATTTATCCTAAACTAATTAAATAGAAGAATCTTTCAAGCTGCTGACAAATACTTTCAAACTGACAATCTCACTAAATTTTAACAAACAATTTTACACCAATAAAGATACTTCCGACATCAAAAACATGCCACTACGGCAAAACTGAAACGTCCAAATGTCATCATGTGCATTGAGGATTAACATATAATTTGAAGCGCCATGTTTTCTTTCCAATAAGCTAACAGACTAGCGGGCTAAAATACATTAGAAAATGGTGATAAAAGCGACAATATTTGGTATGAAAAAATGAGCTAAAAGCATTTGTTTGAAAACAAACAAAATCAAGGAAGATTTACATACATACCAGTCAATTCCTACGTATTCACAAATCTAACACTTAGCTTTTCAATTTTTACATGCATGCCATTTTGCCCATGCATGAAAAATATGCATTTTGGTTTTCATATGTGCTATGAAATATTTGGGTGGTATCATGTAAAACATAAAGTTTGGGAGTTAGATATGCAAATATATGGGAATTAGAGGTATGCATGTAAATGCCCCTAAAATCAATGCGCCAAACACCAAACAAACTTCCAAGTCCTAAACTCCTTTCCATTAGAATCAGACATTACGGCTTCTTTCAAAAATCATTTACTATGAAATAAAAGCTGACGAGAAAAACACAGCATAAAATTAAGACGAGCATTGCGTTAGTAAACATAGCAACGCATTTGGCTCAGGCTCAGTAAGATTAGAGAGAGAGAGAGAGAGAGAGAGAGAGAGAGAGAGAGAGAGAGAGAGAGAGATCCTAATTTAAATGACACAATAAATGAGCGACATAGGGCATCTTAACCTCTGATTTGCATAAAGGTTCTGCAACTTTCAAGTTGATCTTAGTGGTGGTGAAACAAGAATCACTCCATCTCCTCTGACAAAAAGAAAAGGCATGGTACGCCTTGTAGTCTGGAGAAAAATACACAAAATATGTCAAAAAGGCATACTACGCCATTTTGCATTTTATTCAACAGAAATTAGCTCAACTTTTGCTAAAAAGAAAAAACCCTGATAAGGCTAATAGACAGAATGAGAGAAACGGTAACCTTTTTAACAGTTTATTGCACTCAAAACTGACAAAAGTTATTTAGGGTGTGTTATAAATTGAAGAGCACGTACCACATGTGAAAAAAATAACATGCGGGTAAAAACGATCTGCTCACTGCATAAATCTAAATCATCTGCCTAGTTAAATATGTTCGAGAGACTGGCCCCACTTATGGTATTAGTACGTTTTTGGTACAACATGAGTACAAGGCTAATGGCTTGGTGCATCCTTATTGTGGTAGGCAGCATCTTCTGCAGAAGATTGAGTTTTGATGTAATCAAACTGGTAGGATTTTTAAACTGTAATACTTTTAAGTTTAATACTTTGCATAGTTGAAAGAGATTAGCCGCGTTGACGTTTCATTGAACAAGCAGTTAGATTTGGGATCTTATGAAGCGCTCAAAATCTGCAAAAAAAAGTTACATTTTAAGATCTTTTAAACCTACCAAGCCATAAAGGAATTTGGAAGAAATTTTAGGGCGCATTTGGGGTTTATTTTATTTATTTCTTTATTTTTTATTTATATTTTATTTTGGTTGAGTTAATTTAAAATAAGACATGTTTAAAATATATTTAGTTGTTTTTAAAAAATATTAAGACATTTTTTTCAGCATTTTGAGTGTTTTAAAAACAAAATAGTAAGTTGACTTGTTAAAAAAAAAATCAAAACTAGTGAAAAATATATCAAACAAACATATTTTTAAAAATAAAAGAAGAATATAAAAAATAAAAAATGATTACAAACATCATCATGATATAGTAGAACCATCTGTTCAAGAATAAGTCAAGTTTGCAGGAAGAAAAACTAAAGTGTGATCATATTTAAACTTTTTACAAGGTTAATGTCTCTGTGGACAAGGATTCTCTAATATGCCATCCTTTCTCATAGTATTCCACATCCGGCTAAATCTAACAGGAAATTTCCATCGAGAAAGGCCATTTAAATTTACTCGCATACATTATGTTTGCCATGAACCCCTATCTGCATTGCCCGTTTTCTCAAGCAGTGCGAGTATATTAGAAAGAAGGCAAATATCATTTCTAATGCAACTAAAACAAATATGACATAATTGAACTCAGCTCATGTTATGTTAGATTTTAAAACCTAAAGCAAGCTGCCATATCCGAACGACTTGCACAACTTTTTTAAGAGCTGGAGTCACCAATAGAAGTAAAAGACTAATATGTACCTAGGTCTTAAATATACTGCATTGGTGTGATGAGAAGACGATCATAGCAACTATAAAACAGCACCATGACACATGATATACAGATTACGAGATTAATTTCATAAGCTCGTTTACTTGAACAATAAGTTGATGAATGCCAAATCCACTATTACAAATACGAAATGCAGTTTTAGAACATTAGGAGATAAGGATGAAATCAAGATGGGCATAACAAAAACTCAAATCCTTAGAAGGGGATCTATCTACAGTGAAGAAACTAAATTTAGGGAATGGTTTATGAACTAAGCCGGCATCACAATATCATTACTTGGTGAGGACTGCAAACAAGAATATTAAAGCCTAAAAATAGTCAACTGACTATTTGTATGAGGTCATTTTAGCCAGAGTCTAAATAACTGTCAAATTAGTCTCCATACTAAGAGCTAAAATAATCCTCCATGTGGACTTTTTCAAGCCATATTAAAAGAATTTGGGGGCTACGTAAACATTTTTATAGAGTCTGGGATTAAAATGATCCCTTGCAAAGAATCAGAGGATCATTTTTACACTTTCCTTCAAACAAGAAGCTGGTATAAAAATAAGGAACAGCTGTTTCTTATCTTCATGCCCCATAGAAAGCTATTAGCGATACAAAAAAAAATAAAAAATAAATAAATAAACTTAACACCTAATCTAGCTAATTAAAGGGCTGGTTTGATAAGGATAAGGCCATCATGACGAGGCCGATGATGATGATGCAAATTAACCTAGTTGTGACTAGTGGGCAAATTCATATTCTCCTCTTTCCAAGCTAGATGCAAACATGGCTGAAGATGATGAAGAAAATGATAGGCTTACCATTCATGAAAGATAGATATCATTCATGAAGGATACAATTACACTTGAGGTAAAAGCCAAAGTGGGCATCCTTACATATAATGGGACAATTAATGCCGGGGAACACGCTGCATGGATTGACTAACATTGAGAGATTCCCTTCGTCTAAAAAATGTTGAGTCAGCATTCCTTTATGTGTAGAATGCCCATCTAAAGATAAATTAACATCAATATGTGATTTTAGTGATCATGCGCTCCACATAATAATGTATATAAAAGATCAATGAAATAAATAAAGCAATTTCAGACAATGCCAAGAGCAATCGGTGAAATCCAAGGATTCCTACAACAACAACAACAACAACAACAAAGCCTTAATCCCACTACGTGGGGTCGGCTACATGAATCATTTTTCTCTGATGCGTCCTATTTAGTGTCGTATTTTCATTTACTTCTAATAAATTAAGATCATTTTTTATACAATAAACCCAAGTCTTCCTAGGTCTACCTCTGCCTTTCTTAACATAAATCGAATCTAAAACATCTACTCTCCCAATCGGATCATCCGATGGTCGAGGTTTAATGTGACCAAACCACCTAAGACGACTCTCTCTAATTTTATCCGTCAATGGAGCTACATCAACCCTATCATGGATATATTCATTTCGCATTTTATCTCTAAGTGTAAAGCCAATCATCCACCTAATCATTCTCATCTCGGCAAATTGCAAACCAACTAAGTCGGAATAATTCTAAAGGTAAATCTCAAGGATGTATAAACTTTGATGAAATACACCACAAAACTTTATCCACAAATTGCAAAAGAAGTTTGTTTCCAGTAAATGATCTCAATCAAGTTATGCATGATCATGATGGTCATGCAATGCAAGAATCAACATGAGAAAGAAAAGGCACCAAAATCTTCAAGACATTCTAAAATTATAAGAAAACATAAAAAAAAAAATATAAAAAGACAAGCAACGCCCCAAAGCCTGCTCCAACTCTAACCGAATGTTGAAAAGACCTTTGTGGTTATTGTCAAATATCTAGACATACCTAATAAAAATGTTGGGCAGTGCAGCCTGAACTCTTCCATAAAAGGTTGAATAATAACAGAAAAGGAAAAACTACGGTTGTTGATAGTAGTTGTAAGATAAAAAATTGCAGGATAGATTCCTGGCTTGTATTACTAAATCCTATTATAGCGTCAGTCCAAAGTAAGTTTCAGCCTCTCGAGTTCTAATAGAATCCCATATTTGATGTAGTGGAATAATAGCTACTTAGGAAAACTTCAATCTCATGCTATAGTGCAAAGAAACAAAATAAGTCAATCTGTAATCCAACCCTAAACAATCACAAATCAATAAGAAACAAGAAATACGCTACAGTGCAAAGATTTAAAAATAACAAAGTATTCATACCGATTTTAATCAACAACAAATCAACCATAGGAACATTGACAACAAATCCAAAAAAGAAATTAGACAAACCAAGAGAAAAAAAAACCAACTGAAACAGTCATAGAAATAAAGCACAACAAACATCTAAACAAAAAAAAAATCTATTCTCGATAAGAATCATCATTGTAAACATTTGTTTTTATAAGAACATTAAAAAATGAAAAATTCATCAAAAAAATGAAAAATGTTGTTAAAAGACAGCACTAAATAAGATAAAATACAATTTTTATGCCCACTTAATTAAGGATACTCGCCTTATTATTTTCTTCATTTTGTACTCCACTTACATGTTTATATACTGAGAGCACATTTTGATAAATAATATACAAAATTTCTCTTCCAACAATGTAACAAAAGTTCTAAAACCTAATTGTTTCCTAGTTCAGATTGATCTCATCCCAATCTCATTAGTTGCCTGCGCAAAAGAAAAAAAAAGAAGAAAAATGCCCTTCTCCCATTGCTCTTCACCCTTTCCCTATCCTTCAAGCAACCATAGTTGTTTTTTTAAATATAATAAGGGTCTGTTTGGGACAGCTGCAGCTTATCCAGCTTATCCAGCTTATCCAGATAATAAGCAGTTTATTCTTATAAGTTGTTGATGAGCAGCTTATCATGATAAGCAAGCTGGTTGTTTGGGGCAGCTGTTTGAAAACAGCTGATTTGTAGTTGTTTATGGATAAATGATTATTCGGCCTTTGTTATGTATTGTTATTTGTAACGGAACTGTCTTGGCAATACATTCGATATTGCAGAAACAGAAAAATAAATTCTATTTTTGAGAGTGTATCTATGTTTTAAATCTTCTGATTTTTTATCCCTAAAAGCTTCATCAGAACATTTTTATCATGCTTAAATAGCTAGACACAGTTTTTCATTATAATATATGATTGGAGATCAAAGATACAATTTGATGCGACATTAGGCATTGGAAACTAATATCAACAAGTAGAGAGAAGGAAATAAAGTTACAACTTCAAACACTTAAATCAGCCCTAATAAGAAAAAAGAAAATGCCAAAGTAATCCTTATAAAAACAAAAGCCTCTAGAGGGGTATAGCTGCTTCATATGCCTCATAAAATGTGAAATTATCCATACATTCGCACAATATATTCATTTGCAGAACCATGCCTAAAAATCCATTTTAGATGAAACTACAACTAATAAGGGATAACTCGTAATAATCAAGGGTTGCTTTGCAAAGTTCAATCCTAAACCCCAAACACTTAAATCAGTCCCAATAAAAAAAAAGAAAATGCCAAAGTAATCCTTATAAAAACAAAAGAACAAAAGCCTCTAGTGGGGTATAGCTGCTTCATATGCCTCATAAAATGTGAAATTATCCATACATTCGCACAATATATTCATTTGCAGAACCATGCCTAAAAATCCATTTT